AATTAAAAATATCATATACCAAAAAAAAAAATAATAATAATAATAATAATATATATATATATATATGGAAAGACAATTTTTTTAACCTAAAATAGACATGTAATATTTTTTAACTCACACCAATGTCCAAACCGATTAACCAAACCAAACCAAACCGATTTGGTTTGGTTCGGTTCGGTTCGGTTTCAATGATTGGATTGGGTCGAATTGGTTTGGAATTTATCCAAACCGACTAAGTCGATATCAGTTATGGGTTGGACTCAAAACCAAATCAACCCGAACCATGCCCAGGCCTAGTTGATAGAGCTTACTCCTCGAGTATGCACACAGAGAAATCCGTGCAAGTACATATTTAAGATTTTATGCAGATGAGGCGCGAGCGCACACACTAGAGGCCACACTCGTATTCCCTTAATTGATAAATTTAACCTTGAAACGTAATTGGTAAACATAACCAGACGAGAAGCTTGAAAACCAAGTGACGAGAAGCCTTCCATCCAGTTTTTCCCAGCTATAACACCTCCATGCAGTCGACAGGCCGAAAGTAGACAGCCCGAAACAATTGGATCATCCCCAAATGGATATCTAGACATGTACTCTAAAGCTTCTTTTACTCTCCCAGCCCGTCCTAGGAAATCAATGAGGCAACAGAAATGCTCAATATCAGGAGTGATCTTGTAAACTTCAGTCATGGAACTAGAAAAAAACTTGGCCCTCATTTGCAAGTCCTGAATGATTGCAAGCCATTAGAAGTCCAAGAAGTGTAACGAATCTGGCTTCAATCCCACTCCCCTCATCTCCTCGTACAATTCTATCGCTCTTCGTGCAAGCCTGTGATTTGCAAATCCAGCAATAATGCTATTCCACGAGACAAGATTATGGCACTGTGTTCAATCAAAAACATTGGACGCATAGCCAATGCAGCCACTCTTAGCCAACATGTTCACAAGTGCGTTACCAACTCCCACATCCACTCTAACCTCGTACTAATTAAATGTGCATGAATCTCACTCCTGTGGCACATGGAAGCAAGACTGGCAGCTGCAGAAAGCACAACCACATAAGTAAATCATCAGTTTTCATGTTAGTGTCCATCACTTCTTCAAATTTTTGGATTCAATCATTGCAATGACAACAAGCACTAATAAGAGTATTCAACGAAATTACATCTCTCTCCTTAGTCAGCCTAAACACCATCTCTGCTCTTCAATAAGATGAAATTTTGGGTACATGCCAATCAAATTGTTAGCAGTAAAATTCGTATAATCAAGCCCAAGCTTTACTATTTGACAATGTAATTGCATTCCAACTGACAAATCATACGTAGGTTCACTTGCCCTTAGTAGTCCAGCAAAAGTAAAAAAATCTGGAGCAAGACCTCGTCGACCCATAAGCTTAAATATCTCAAACCCTTCCTCTGCCTGCACATTTTCCACCAACCCAGAAATAACTACATTATAAGAAACCAAACTCAACAATCCAGAAGTACTGCAGTCACGAAAAATTGACAAGGCATTGCTGCTCATGCCACATTTCACGTACATCAAAATAAGTTAATTAAAAGAAAAACAAACAAACTGATAGCCTAATTTCACTACCTGCTCATGAATTTTTTGCCCGAGTTATAATTACTCAAGACAAGCACAAGCACTATGAGCACTGGCAAAAATAAAATCATTGGCTTATGATACTTTTGCATTTGTACATAAATCACAAAANTTTTTTGCCCGAGTTTTAATTCCTCCAGACCAGCACTAGAACTATGAGCACTGGCAAAAATAAAATCATTGGCTTATGATACTTTTGCATTTGTACATAAAGCGCAATAGTAGAGTGGGATTTTCTGGCTTGGTCAGAACCCGAAATCATCGCAGACCAACACCAAATTCTTATGGGACATTTCATCAAACACTAGGTGAGCTAATTCAATGTGGCCATATGTTGCATAAAAATTGATCATGTGATTGCCAATATAAATGTCTGATTCAATGCCTGTTTTGACTACAATGGCGTGAAGCAAAAAGGCATGTTGAAATGCCTTTGATTTGGCACGGTGGTGCAGAAGTGAAGCTAAATTTTCTAGTTGCATTTACAGGAGGAAAAGGATTATGTTATTTGTACGTAAGAATAAGGAATTACATAAAATAATGAGGAAGAAAAATATTGGATAAAATAGTTGACTGTATTTTAAACTGAAGAAGGATGGAGTGCAAATGTGTAGGTAAATCATATAGACATGAACAAACTTAAGATTGCACATTGCATATTTATTTCAAACATAATATCTTACAACATTGCACTTTACTAGAAGAAAGTAGTTGTACGAACTTCACAATGTAGAGATAGAGAATTCAAATTTTAACATTAATATTTGTATATAACTTTGCACTTTGCATTTATAATCTTCCGCTTTTACATCGATTCAACTATGCTTGTGCGTGAAGAATCCGATGACGATATTCACCAAGAGCCCATATTGGGAAGATATTCCGGTAAGATGAATAGTTCAGAGTACAATTCTTCATGAATGCTCCCGTAATTTCCTGCAGTCCACAGTCCATTAGTTAGATTAGAGAAGAAAAAGACCTCACAACGGCCTTTTGTTTTTGTAAATTTGTTATGATTATTTATTCCGGACATTTTTTTTAAGGTATAACAATATTTTACCTGTTGAGGAAAGTCACCATCTTCCATTTGTGAATTTACTAGCAGTTTTATTCCGCGATGTATAGGCTCGGGATCAATCTCGACCTGATCTCAAGGAGGATAATATTCAGTACAAATATGTAATCTATATCCTTACACGAACACAAGAAAGGTATGCAGCTAAACTGCTGTTGGTAAAAATTGGAAAATATGTTTGAATTTGGCGGCAAGTGTAACGGGCTAGACAAATAGCCCACTATATTATTTTAGGGCCCAAAATGACAGAGTTCAATAGAAGTGTAGCCCAATAACTAAGCTCACGTTCCCATCCCCCC